GAGGATGAAACTGTTCTTAATTGTTTTCTGATTTTTCTTTCTACTTTTCTGCTAGCTCCATTCAGTTGCCAAGACTCCACCCTGCAAGGGATTATGGGGTCGTTTAAAGGAGATGATAATGATTGGGGTAATTTGACAAACCACAAAACCTCAATAGCAGAAACTCAGCAGAAAAATTGTGATGTAGTTACAAATGCAATACATTTCGTTCACGGCCAAGAATCACTTTCCCAAAGGCACTGGGAAATAGGTCCCATGAAGTTTTCAACCACCAATATTCATTTTGGACCATCAATTTAATCTCTAGTAATTGCTTTAATCTAATCTCTAGGAATACAAAGGAACTAGTTGGATGAATGGAATCCTTAGGGCGCCCTTTACTTCTGCATGGTTTCCAGAGACAATGCTATTCTGATTTCATCTTGAACGCCTGCAAAATATTGCAAAATGATTGCATGATTATAATACAATCATTTCAATTGAGTTTTGAAGGCCAGATACGAATTTTGTTCTTTCAAGATGATTCAACAAGGGGAAATAATGAAGAGGAGGACAGGCAATAGGTGGTTAAGAATGTTGGTGTACGACTGCAACAGGAACTGGGTCTCAATATTCTTTCAATTCCCTTGACTTTTTTTTTTTTTTTTTTGCACAAATTCTGGGAGTTTTGGCAAAATGAATTCAGACCATTTGCAAGATTGAGCTGAATCCTATAAGCCACCCAGAGTAGCCACATGGCAGGATGGGTGGCAAAAATATTTAATAAATAATATTCACAGCTTTGAATTAAAACTATGTTCTAGTTGTTGATTTTTCTGGGTGAAGTGCATTGGGGAGCAGTGGAAGAGGAGGTGAAAGATGATGACTTTCATTTTGCAACTGGATATTAAAAAATGTCTTTATTGGGGCTACGCCCATCAGTACATATACAGCATTCCACAAATTAACTGCTTATATTATCACAAGCTCTGGATATTTAACAGTCTCTTAACCGAGTTTTTATACGCCAAAAGGTTCTTCTCTGTTTCCCCTTCATTTTTCAAGAGAACCACGGACTTCTTGTAATCCTGCATCACCTCAGAGGCAAGAAGTTCCTCTCTGCTCACTTCTTCAGCTTTCTCAGCTGCCCTTATTTGAAGCAATGTCTTTAAAGCGTTTCTTTCGGAAACACTGTTCTCCCAGACGTACTCCAGCATATCTGCTTCTGTGATTTCTTTTTCCCACGGTTCCATTTTCTGAGAAACAAAACGAAAACATCATCAGTGAGAAAAACCTGAAAGATCAGAAATGTGGTCCATGCAAACTCCAGGCATTTAAGGTACCATGTTTCTCCCAAAAGGCGCCCAGGTCTTATTTTCTTTTGACATCCCCCCACCCGCCCCATAAAAAAACCAGCCAGGCCTTCTTTGGGGAGGGTTCTAATTATTGGCTCACCTCGGGGTGCTGGCACCGACAGCCCTGCCCAGCAGGAGCCCACTGCTGGCCCACTTCTTCAGCAGCCGCTTGCCGCCACTCGCACGCATCGCCCCGGCCTCCGTTTCGCCTTCAGGTGCCTTCCAGAAATTTCTCTGCAGCCGATAATAGACCGGAGCTCTATGATCGGATGCAGAGGGTTTTCCGAAGGCATCCTGGAAGCTGAGGCGATACGTGCGAATGGCGGCAAGCGGTCGCAGAAGGCGGAGAGGCAGGTGTCAGGGTGTGCGAGGCCAGGTAAGTAGAGCAGCTCCACCCCACCCACCACCCACCCTTTTTTACCTGTGTGCCTTGTCCCACCTCCTGCACCCTGGGGTGGGCGGGGTCTTAATTGGGGCTAATTTTGTGGGTGGGGCTTAATTTGATTGCATGTGCTCAAAAACGTGATAGGGCTTCTTTTCAAGGTGGGTCGTCTTTTTTGGAGAAACACGGTAGCACCTTCCAAAGAGCCTGGGGCTCCTCCGAAGCTAAGCAGAAGTTCAATAAAGGTGAGTAAACCTGCTCTGAAAATTGACTGTCCTTCTCAATTTCACCCATGAATGGAAAGTCCTGTGTCCCCAAAACCTGTGTAATGTTCTAAACTTTGGCAGCAGGATTTTTTTAAAAAAAATCTTGACTAAATAGCCCTCTTAGAAAGTCAGAAATGCTCTGTTCCCTTGGGAAGTACTGCAGAAAAGGAAAACCAAATCATGTTCAATGGCTTGTAGGATTTGAGTGGGATGTCTCTGCTGCTTAACCTGTAATGAATATGCCGTACGCTACTTTTTAAAGAAAGAGTAGTGGTCTTTTCTTCCCAAAGGCTTGACAACCTGCCCTTCCACCACACTGTGTTGGTTTTCATGAGTTGGGGTAATGATGGCAGTACATTTCCAATTACTTTACTCATTTGGAACTCATAAGAGCCTCCGATGATATTTAATTCCAGCATGGCTTAACAATGTCCCAAAGGTGCTTCAGTTCAGAGCTGGAAGAAGATTCTTGGATGAGAAGCGAAACATCTTCAAGGAAAAACAAAGTAAAGTTTTCTATTATTTCAAAGAAAGTCCAGTTGCCTCTTTAAAAAGAATCTTTGGGACAATCATGACCTGGAGGACTGAGAATCTCCACAGATATGACTAACGATGTTTCTTTGTGGTTCTGATTCTAGCCAGCTGGCTTCTAGAGTTGTTGGTGAGCTCTGTGATGTATCCCAGATATATGTTATTTGTTAAAATATGAACGAAGAAAAAAGTAGAAAGATAGAATTCCTTACTATAGGAACATATTAGAACCTGGATGGTCAAGGAACAATTGGACCCGATGGCCATAGAATCTAACTTCCATCACAGCCTTTAACCGATGCCAATGAAAAGCTGCAGTTCAGCTTTCAAATGAAGAAATCTATGAGAAGCCCCAATATCTATGCCACAGAGGTGCAACTTCCACTCAAATCCTATTACTCCTATGCCAGTATTTTCCTTTACTGAAGGAAGTTGTTTAACAGGCATCTTTCTTTGAAACAATGTGGCATATCTGTTCTCACTTCCTTTGATATTCATCTTCTGTAAATTTAAGACTTCCAAGCTGCCAGATCATCTGCAGAGTAAACGGACTCCTACAAATGTCTACAAGACCTCTAGGCGTGCAAAAACCGACCTCTGCCACTTGGTGGCAGTAAATGTTACGTTTTAATGTTTCAGGACTTTGAGTCACACTTCAGCCCTTTCAAAAACTGCAAAGGTGAATTGTTGTACAGTTTCCACACAGGATGGTTGGTTTATAGTAAGAACTAAACTACTAAGTTGAAAAACAAGAGCGCCTTGTGATAAACAAATGTTTACCTGGTCAAAAAAGTCTGCATGGGACTCACCCAATGGGACTAACAAAAAAGTCCCATTAGGAAAAAGTAACTAAGAATCTAAGACTAGATTGAAATTGAGTCAAACTGCCTGAATGGAGAAACATCAGCTTCCTTACAATCTTTTAATCTCATTCATTCTGAGTTAGTGACACACAACTCTTCTCTTTGTTTAAAAGAACCTGAACAGACTATGGTTGCCAACAGTTCTTAAAAACTTTTCAGGTTGTATGTAAACGAAGTTCAAGTGAAAATGATTTAAGATGCCACCAAAAACAAAAAAAATGGCATAACTTTCTTGGCTATCTAATAAGACTCATTAGGGCTTATTTTCCAGTTACGTCTTCAACTGAAGCTCTCTTTCACTAAAATGGAGACACTGTTAGCTGCTCTGAAATTTGTTTTGCTTGTCTCCTAAATGATCTGGCCTGACGGTGGATCATTATATGATCTTTCCAAAATTTAGATTCAAAAAAATAACACTTCTGAACGCCATCTAGAAACTTAAAGTACCACCCATCCCTTCGAGCTCACTGGTCTTATTTTTTCAAAGTACAAAAACTCAAAAATCCATGTCCAATTTAGAAATGGGAGGGAGGCATTTTAGGAAGACTCTTGCTCCTTGAAAGAATTCAGTCCAATTCCACATCATAGCACAACTTCTAAAACAAATACAGTAGTTTGGATTTAGAATTTTGTGATGCACTCAAGTGACTTTATTGTTTTGCCCTGAATTTGGCTGTTTTTAAATTTATTTTTATGCTTGCAGGTCCCTGACAGGCAGAATCCAATTATTTCAACAAAATAGTATTTTTCTTTTGGTTACTGTTTGCTTCTATGCCATACTGCCTCCCATTGTATCTATAAATGCAATTTATTTGCTAGTCTTTTCCATAAGAGGGAACTCCAGCTATTAAGCTTGCCAACTGGCAAACCTACTGGGAAAACATAGGTGTCCGTTCCTTAACTATGAAGTCAAAATGACAAAATAAGCAACAATAACATCATGATGCAAGTGTTACCCTTTCATGCTTGTGTGGTAACATCACATACAAGTACATAAGATGGAGAGTCTGGGTCCTCATGCACCTGTCAATACTGCTCCTCTTCTCCAGTGAACCCCAAGGACAGATGAGCATTATTCAACTGCATTAAGATTAGAAACAAAAATGGAAAGATCTGTCCTCCCCTCCAAGTGATTGTGACCAGGGCAACCAATGGTGATCTAATATCAGGGTTTATTCTCAAACACGGTCACTGCTTTCACATCTTCCCATGGAGTTTTACATCGCAGGTATTTTTTTAAAAAATCTTGCGTTTTACTCAACCTAATGAGTTTTATGGCCAATCAATGATTTAAATGGCATCTTTTCTGTTTCTCTCCTACACTACAATCCAGATAGGACAAATAGCTTGCTTGGGGAGGAACATCTCTAAAACCCAGGGGATAAAAACAGAATATTTAGAGCTGCCCAAAGTTATTAAAAAATGTGGTTTCCTTTTGAGGGATCACCAATGAGAAAGAGAAAGCAGTGGGTTGCAGAAACTCATTAATTTCTCATGAAATCAAAGACAATTACAACTGATGAGGCCATTAAGTATTCATGTGGAAGCTGAAAGGTAATAAAAGGGCAAGAGACTTGGGTGTACTCAATACACACTAAGCACCCACCTATCATATACCCAAGTCTTCCATCACTGGGTAATACTAGAGCCAAGCGCACATGTGCTACTCTGGAATTAGTAACCTCAATGTTGAGCTTCCAGTGTAGAATCACTGTTTGAATGCTGCAGAAAGGTAAGTAGACTGCCGTGCATTGGTAATGAGGGAAACTTCATTATCTAAAGCTTTGAAAATGCTAAAACATTTAATTAGCACAGACTACACAGTAATCCAATCCATGCTTGCAAGCAGCACCGTTGAAGCAATTCTGGCGTTTTACAGCAGGAGGTTTTCACACAGCTTTCTAGGTATTTGCGAATCCAGACTCTGTGAGGACGAGGTTAGCCAAAACACGCAGGAGCAGGGTCTCTTTTTTGTGCACAGGGAATGCGACACATTTCAAAAGACCCCATTTTAGGGCTCCACATTGGACTCACAAACCCTGCTTCCTCATCAGTCATGGATAGGATAGGATAGGATAAGAATTTAGAATAGAAATACAAAAGTAGGAAAGGAGTGGAGTGGAGTGGAGTGGAGTGGAGTGGAGTGGAGTGGAATGGAATGGAATGGAATGGAATGGAATGGAATGGAATGGAATGGAATGGAATGGAATAGAATAGAATAGAATAGAATAGAATAGAATAGAATAGAATAGA